ATGGTTACGAACTCCATTATCTAGAAACTCAGGCCGGTTACACACTTTATTCTCAATGACAGGGAAGCCAGTCTCTTTAAGTAAGCCTTCTCCACCAGTTCCTTTGAAAAGCAGATGGAAGGGAGGAAATAATGTTACAGGATAATGCAGAGAAAAAGCAACAAAGATGATTAGGGGACTGGAGGCTAAAATATATAAAGAAGGATTGCTGGAATTGGGCATGTCTAGTTTAAAGGACTTGTGTTCCAATATCTCAGGGGTTGCCACAAAGAAGAGGGAGTCCACCTATTCCCCAAAGCACCTGAAGGCACGACAAGAAGCAATGAATGGAAACTAATCAAGGAGAGAAGCAACCTAGAACTAAGGAGAAATTTTCTGACAGAATAATTAATCAATGGAACAATTTGCCTCCAGATGTTGCGAAAGCTCCAACACTGGAAATTTTAAAGAAACATTTGGACCACCATTTGTCTGAAATGGTATAGGGTTTCCTGCTGGAGCAGTGGGGTGGACTAGAAGACCTCCAAAGTCCCTTGTTACTCTGTTATTCTGTATGTTTCCTGATCTGGTAAGAATGGGATCAGATTCCTCTAGCTTTTGTTAATGGAAATGTGACTTAAAGCTTCACGAGGCAGGCATAATTTGTTCATGGTATAAAATGAAACCAATAATATTCTAATATGCTCAAGGAAGCTTCATCATCACCAAGCATGACAGTATAAAAAGAAATCATCACTTTTTACCACCAGGTTAATCTCTAAAAATTCCGTATGACAACCACCTTGCAGCCCCAAAAGTAGACAAGTGTAACCTTTTGCTGCCATCTGATGGTCATTTGGATCTTGCAGCCCAAATCTAGTTGGGGTAATCTTTATTTAACAATCCCAAATGGAAAAAGAACCCCTGTGCATACTCTTACTTCAGGTTTCCTTTGCTTAAAGACTTGTGAAGGTCATAAATGTGAGGAGTTGTCACAAAGTTCCTTTTTCATCACTGTCATAACTGCAAATGGTCACTAACAACCATTAGACTTAACCAAGTATCTTGCAAAATATTTTCGTATTAAAATTATAAATTAAATTAAAATTAAAACATTAAAACAGAAATGTGTCTAATTTGTGTAGGGCTGTATAGTCTCTAATACAAATAAAACTCCTTTCCTTGTTGAATTAAATCTGATCTCTACCTTAGCCATCACTGTGATGGAATTTACCTGTCCAAGAACCATCCAGAAGCTTGAAACATCCTATTGTAAAATACATCCCATGAATAAAGACTTTTTTTCCAAATTTCCCATAGTGACTAAATCCTGTTTGTGTTCAGACAATAAATATGAAACCATTCATTCATTCATTCATTCACTCACTCACTCACTCACTCACTCACTCACTCACTCACTCACTCACTCATTCATTTAAAGTCTCCAGATGTATGGAAGATAAAATCCATCAATAAAAACTCATCCATTTTATATCCATCAATAAAAAAGATGAGAAGGGGAAAGGAAGAAATGTGAAAAGAGAATGGTGGGTACTTTGAATTTTTAACCACTCTGAGGTCACTCACCTTTTGTGTCTCCCCATCCTGTGACATAACATTGTGTTCCACCTGCTACAACAACGTTGGCTGAAGGTAAGCAGACTGGAATGACTTCATTGGTGATCTGTACTGGGCTGGGAGAAAAATGACATTGCCACTCTTTTCATTCTAGTCACTGGGTGCATCTCCCACCTTTATAATTTTTTTTTGCAAATAACCCAATGTGGCAAACATAGCCAACACAATTCCTTCTATTTTCCCCATAACAACAAGCCTGTGATGTGAACTGGCTCTCATGGCTAAAGCAGGACTTGAATGCATGGCCTCTTGCTTTCTAGCCTTGTACCTTAACCACTAGACCAAACTGACTCACAGGACCTGCGTCGTTAGTCACTGGATATTTTTTAAGTAATACTTTTAAGTATTACTAGTACTAGGAGGTTGAAGTTTACACATTGTGACATTGAATCTTAATGTATGAATAAAAAATTAGAAACTATTAATTAGCTTCAGCATCCTTGTAGCATCTACTGCAGTGTTTCTCAACCTTGGCAACTTTAAGGTGGATGGGCTTTAACTCCCAGAATTCTCCAGCCAGCCAAAAAACATTGTTCTATTGTGTCTTTTGTGGAGTCAACCTGCCTTCATGCTATTTCATACCTTGTCAGCTATTTTCCAGCAAAACAACCATAAATAACTCAAGCGAAGACTTGCTAAAGCCAAATTTGAAGTTAACGTTCTTCCTTCTAAATTGTATGCAAACCAATCCATATCAATTTTAAAAAAAGAACTATATGTATACTCTTCCATGCCAGAAGCTTATCCCAGTTGCAATGATTTTATCCATAACAACAATGCAACTACCTAAACACAGAGGCATGTTGTGCATGAATAAATTTGGACACTACTTCAGATGAGCATTGTACCATAATGAAACTGGATCAATTCAAATGTCATTTTAGAAATGTTCCTATGTTCACACCAAGGAGTTTGGGAATGGAGGGTAGAGAGATTATTAAAGATAAATATTGTCACCCAAAGGATACCTGCTTAATTTCAGCAAGGCAATGTCTGCCCGATATGGTTCTTTGAATATTTTCTCAACGTTGCGATGTTGGGCGGATGGTTCTGAGGCTGCCTCTGTGTGTAGGCCAAGCGACACTTTGTAAAAACTAGGATTTGGTGACCTACAAAAGACAAATATCCCAGGTCAAAATATATTCATAGATCCACAACTTAGGCAGATAAGAAGAGGACAATTCAATGAGAATTTCTGAAAACTGGAACCATAGGTGGATCTATGTTATGCACGTCTGCAGAGAGGACAAATAGGGCTAGGGTAGCTCTGAGAATTGTGAAAAAACTCTGTTGGACTTAACAAGCTAAATGACTCGAAATCACTGTTTCATTCGGAATATTTGGGGGAATAATGGAAAACCAGAATATCAAACACCAAGCATTAGATGCCAATGGTTATTTAATTATATTCACTTACTAAATGGCACTGATTGTTGTTAATCTACAGTCTATGCATCGTTGGTTGGAGCTATTTGTTTTTTGGTGAGAAACAAAGGAAGCTGAAACACCAAGCCAGGTCACTATTCCATACTATACAGCTCAGTAATACCATATAGGTGTTTTCGTCTTTCTGTTCCCTTTTTGGCTTATTGATTGTCTCTTTTGCATAGTATATAGATATCTGTGTTTGGGTCTATGTGTCTATTTTAGAGAAAACATAGTCCGTCCATTTTGCCATCAGGTTCTTCTGGGAACCCAGTTGGTAGGTATGCCATGTCACAAAAGAGATATTTACACACATCACAAAGCCATATGCAAACAAATCATACTATGGTTTGGAACAAACTGTAAACCAAGCCATAATCTGTGATCTATAAAGAGGTCTTACTGTCAATCAGTCATGTCCAATGGAAAGCTTTCCAATTTTGTTAACAGTATATTAATTCTCAGACATTACACATTGCTTTCTTCTGATTTCTGGTTCTGGTTTTCCTTTTTTCCTCAAATAGTTTCCTAAGAGTTGATAATCTTGCATAACATTGCAATTTCTAGTGTCATGGTGAGCTATCTGTTCATCCAATAGGTTGCCAGCTGCAAACAGATTACAAACTTCTGCTCTCAGAATTGCATTGAAGGATGGGATATAAACCACTCAGATAATCAAGTGTGAATTAAACCCTGAGCATAGCTAATGCTAAACTAAATGGCATATTTGTCATAACAGAAAAATGGTAGATTTGCCATAATCTGGCAAATACCTGCTAGGATTAACATAACAGACCCATGTTACCACGAAATAGCCCCAAACATTCACAGAAAGCTCTGTTTGCTGCTAACTGATGGTCATCTGAATTTCTGCAGCCCAGATATGATAGTCTAATTAATATCTATTGCCTCCTGTTTTTTTCTAGCTATGGAGTGACTACAATTCCCAGAATTCCCAGGTTGTGAATTTTGCCAGTTGACATTTCAACCCCTTGGACAATAGTATTGGAAAATCTGATCTCTTGCTCAAGGGAAGTTTTGTTTTATTCATATTTTGAAGCTGCCCATCTCCCTCACAAAGGGACTCTGGGCAATGTACAAATAAAGGTTTTACCGGTCTAAACAGTGAGTTGCTGTCAGAACCCATTGTGGCTTTATTAAGGTACCTCCACAAAAATGTAGATTGTTGTAACTGAAAAAAAAAAGAAAACAGAAGATTAGTTTATAGTGCTGTGTTTCCCCAAAAATATAACATGTCCTGAAAATAAGGCCATGCCATATTTTTCAGGTGGGCAAAAATATAAGCCCTCCCCCCAAAATAAGTCCCTTGGACAACTTCCCCCACCCTCCAGCTAGACAGCATGCAACTCACCGACCTAGCGGTATCCCAAAGGCGCCAAGACTCTCTGTCCTGGCAGAGTTTTCCAAGAGCCGGCCCAAAACCATAGAGCACACACTACCAGAGCTGCCACTGCCGGAAGCCTCAGCAGCCAATCTATGGAGCTTGGAAGCTGGAGAAGAAGCCATGCTCGGATGGCGATGGCGGTGCCCTGGCCCTGCAGGGAGAGCTGGGTCGGGGCATGGTGAGGCTGGGAGGCGCATGAGCTCAGAGTGGAAAAGTCGCTTGCACTCCCCCAACTCCAGCCATACAGAGAGCCGTTCACTGACCTAGGAGTATTCCGAAGGGGCCAAGCCGCTTGGAGGTGGGGAACAGGGGCTCACACAGCTTGGTGCCTTCGGGATACCCCTAGGTCAGTGAATGGCACTGTGCCCAGCTGGAAAGAGGGTTTGCCAGGCAGCTGCTCGTGAGCATGGTCACCTCGTGGCTGCTTTGTTGCGCTGCTACAACAGCGCAACACAGCTGTTTACCCCTGAGGCTGTGCCCGGCTCTTAGGGAGCCTGCTTGCAAGAGAGCAGCCACCCGGCAACCCCAAACAATAAGCCCTCCCATGATAATAAGGACCAAGCCATTTGGTGGGGGGGGGCAAAAGAAAATAAGACCCTGTCTTATTCTTGGGAAACACAGTAAATAATTCACATAGAAATCAAAAGCTGTCCATTCATTATTCAATCTCCTTATTTTCAAGCATTACACAGAGCTAATACCAGCATGCATGAACTGGCTTAAATTTACAACAGTTCACAACAAACTGAATGGCATTTCTTTTCTCGCTTCTTTGAGTCTAATAAATTCAGCGTGTGAAGCCATATTTGCAGAGTAGAATCTTGTACTACCTTAAGTATTAGCAGATTTATTATGGCTTTAGGCTTTATGGATCTATCATGCAAAGTGGAAGCAAAATTCAAGCTAATTTCACCCATGTGAAATAATATATT